CCTCTGTAAATTACATAATAATTAGCTTAAAAAATTTACACGATTGCTCAACAGAACCTATATTTTAAAATAAAAGAGCGTTTTTTTTATTAATTTTAAGAAAATTTAATGATATTAACAAATTTCGTTAAAATTTATAGCATTTTACTATAGATCATCGTGACTGTTACACGAAAAAAATTTACTAGTTATTTTTACTATGATACTACGCATATATTTGATCTACACAGTACATTGGACACCCCAACATAACGACCATTGTAGACAGGGTCGTAAAATTATAAAAGTTTCTGATAAGTTACTAATAAGCCTTCCTTTCCTGTCTTAATGTTAACGAAATTAATAATAATTTGATAACTTACCATTAAAATTTTATGGTAATTTACCACAGTAAGTTACCATAACAATTTTTGATTGTGGAATGTAAAAATGTAAAAAAGATGTTTGAAAGTGGGTAAAATCTCCTCGTTTGCAATTGTTTTCCTTTTTTTCCCATCAAAAATGCTTTGATTGGTCAAGATCAACATGTTGATCCCTTAATTTTATATATAATTCATTAATAAATTTTATCATGCATGTTTTTCACTCTCAAAATGACAACCGATCAAATATTCAAAAATGATATTTTGAAAGGAAAGGTGGCCTTCGTTACTGGAGGTTTGTTAACAATTAATCATTTGTTTTATTATTACTAATTACCGGTATTGCTACCATTAATTTTTTGAATTTTTTCTTATAAGGCGGTAGTGGAATATGTAAAGGCATGACAGAAGCAATGTTAAGACATGGTGCAAAAGCTGCTATTATAAGCAGGAGGTTTGTTTATCACATTAATTACCTTATTTTTACAAATTATTTAAATTCATCTATATTTCCTATTGTTCTATAATTTAGTCAGGACAAGCTTGATAAAGCCGCCGAGGAAATGAGAAAGGAAATTGGTGCTGAAGTCCTGTAACTTTCATTAATTCCTTCAATTGGGTATATGTTGTGCGTCAAATTAGAATGGGTGTGGTTTTAAATTGATTTACGCCAGAGTGAAATTTGAGATGCTCAATATCAATAATTTATATGTGGTTGAAGCAGAAATAGTTAATGCTTTAAAATCAAAACATCACATTAATCATCTAATTCAATATGTTGTAAGTTGAAGCGGATCTAAGTAGATTTGGATTTTCTTATCTAAATTAGAGCAAGTTATGGGTTTAGATAAACCCTATCCTACTAATTTAACAAAGTAATTTCAAATCCGCTTAATTCTTTTTTTACTTACTTACAACACATATATTAAGGTTGAGCTTTGTTATACACAAATTTAGTCTAATTCCACGCCAAGTTGTTTGCTTTTTCTTTCTTATTTTGTGCCAGATTTTCGATGTTTTGACATGTAAAACCTACATAATTGTTTAATTCGACACGAAATACATAAATACAGTCAGACATCTCTAAGTGCACACCCTTGGGACCACACTTTAATAGCTTGCATATAGAGAATAATAAGAAAAAGTGCATTTATAGAGGTCAAGTATATATTTGGGCCAGCACTTGAGCGTGCATTTGGAGAGGGTACACTTATAGAGGTGTGCACTTAGAGAGGTCTGACTAAATATTTCAATCTGACGTATAAAAATGATAAACTGGTCTGACGCATCTCAGAAATGAGTTTAGATACAATTTTGTATCCACGCCTCTTCGAATCTGACACATGATATAATATTTTACAGTATACTTATGTATATGAATTCTTTAGCGCAATCGCAGCTGACGTTCGTAACCCAGAAGATGTTATTAAAGCTGTAGAACTAACGATAGAAAAATTTGGCAGAATTGATATCCTTGTTAACGGTGCAGGTATTTAATTCTTACTTAATGCTTGAAAATTTTAAAAATTTTATGCGAGCTTAAAATTCGATCTCTCATTTAATAATCATTAGCTGGAAATTTCCTAGCATCTGCTGAAAAACTCTCTTACAGAGCTTTTCGTACTGTTGTTGAAATTGATTTAATTGGAACTTTTAATGCAAGTAAAGCATGTTTTCCCCACTTGAAAAAATCCAAAGGTGTTGTGATTAATGTTTCAGCTAATCTTCATTATCAAGGTATGTTTTATCACTTGTCAATTTATGTTCGTATTTTTTGTTTCTTAGTATTTTACTAAAAGTTTCTTTAGCCACACCTTATCAGGTATAATTTTCGTATCCATGCGATTAGAGATGTGAACTATGAATTACAGTACATATAAATAAACTGTAAAACAACAATTTTACAATAAACTACAGTTTATATATATTAACTAATAGTTTACGGATCGCACCTCTACATGCGATAATTTTTCAATCTAAAAACTAAATTTTATGCAAATAGTCTCACGCAATGGCTGCTAAAGCAGGTGTTGATGCTTTGACAAAAGTATATTAACAAAATATTATATCATGCATTTTTGTCCTATATCATATTTTTATGATTATAATATAATATATATCTTGATTTTATAGGCATTAGCTCTTGAATGGGGACCACATCAAATTCGTGTTAATGGAATTGCACCAGGTCCAATTAGCGAAACAGAAGGTTTTTCAAAACTTGCCCCTTCTAATTCTAATGAAAATGTCGCTCGGGAAATGCCTCTTCAAAGAGTTGTCAGTATTTATAATGATTTGTTACAATATACGGAATATGAGTCTATTATATTTTGTTATAATGGCTTATTTTATTTGTTTTTATCTTTATCTCAGGGAAAAATTCGAGACATTGAATATGCAACACTTTTTTTAGCAACAGACGCTTCTAGTTTTGTAACCGGAACTATTTTATTGGTTGATGGCGGTGATGCATTAAGGAAAATTTCCATTATGCCTTACCCAGAAAGTGTCCTTAATCCTTTTGATTTATCGACAAAAAGTTTGGGCGCAAAATTATAAATCAACAAATATTCTGATGCTAATAAACAGAATTATAGATAGAATATATATAATCCACACATATTGTTGGTACGTGATGATAACTTCTAATTTTTGTAGCTAAGTGTAAGTTTCTCCACTTAAATGCTCTTTACTTCTTGGATAACATAATTATTAAAGTATTATATAAAGAAAGCTAGTTACATAATATTTTTTAGATAAGATTTTTTTAATTGTTTTGGCCTTATTTTCCTTTTATTAACCATCCTTATTAACATAAAACTTCGCTAAGTAATTATTTTTGAACCATTGTAGTATTAGAGATTTGGCTTACCAACTCACCAATCCGGGAGTCGTGATTTTGATATCTAACTCAAAGCAAATTATTTAGCCCGGTTAATTTGTATAAAAAATAGCATTATTATCAATTAATGTATTCGATAATTTGTTGAAATCCAAAGTTTTGAATGGTAGTTTAGAAATGTGACATAGTGAACAATAATTTTCTTTTTCGGATTCTAAGAAATCAACTATTATTTAGCGTAGCACGGGATGTAGATATTATTATGGTTGGGATTTAAAATTTGAATATCGATATTATCAGTTGGAATAAATTGCAAATATCGATACATTGTACCATATAGTGACAAATATAAAAAGCCGATCCATTTCTCGGCAGAGCTTTCATAATTCCTGAAACACGTGATAAAAAATTTGCCGAGCGATTTTTCGGCCGATTCGGCTAAGTTAGTAATTTCAGCATAAAAGATAATTTTTATATTATATACATGTATATAATATCATACTTGTTCTACAGATAACTTTATCATTATAATGTCGACACATTCAACATTATTAAACTTTTCGTTTTAATACTTGCCCAACCTGTTTAGTGCGTTAGTTTGTGGGAAAAGGCTTTCGTGTCAACCAATAAATCTTGACAAGAAACATAAAAAAGGCACCGGATATAAAATAAGTCTTTAAAACAAGCGCATTACACGAATAGGTGCTAATATTAAAAAGTTAGATATAATCAAGATTTTGTCGACATATTTTTATATCGTTCATGTGGTTTTCTAAAAATAACGAAAAATTTTCAATACATCCATATCTTTGAAAGTGCTCGAGAACTCGACTTATAGAAGATATGAATGAAACAGCTGTAATACATAGATTAGAAACTATCAGCCGGTTAAACAGTTGACTAAACAGTGGCTTTATTGGCTTCAAACACTGGATTTTAGCATTAGTATCTACAGCAGATAACGGGCTAACTGGGTAACTCCATATGGGCGGAAAATTTCAATTTTTGTGATTAGATAAATTGAATGATGAGATTACATAGAATTTGAACCAATAATATATATAATGTGATTACTAAAATTAAAAGTGATTATTTACCATTGATTGTAAAATTACTTATGAATTGCTCATGAGTTATTTATCAGTTACTTTATCATTTTTATATCGCTGTTCATGAGTAAAGTAACCCAAAACAACCCAGAATTTTTGATTTTAGTGATTCGAATTTTAATAGTTACATTACATTAAAAACTTTCGCCCATATGCGGTGTATTTTAAACCTAATTTCGCATTGGATAAGATCTTTATATGTGGGCGTAAGTCGGAGCTTAAATCTATACCAGGTCGAATCTCTATATTGTGTTCTACAGTGAAACGTCCAATATATATATGACTTAACAAAAGACTTATAAAATCGATAATACAGTATTCGAAAGTGCTCAAAATTTTCAAACCCTAATACACATATAATTCTTGATATTTATCGAAAGCTCTTATATGGATTTAGAAGTTGCCTAAGTATCAGAGCAGTTTTGCTTCGTGTCTGCCACAGGATCGAATCCCGATTAAAGTTACATGCTCGATGGAACGAAGTGTTAATTTAAGATCAAATTCCTTAGACAAGTAAAAACTTATTTGATACCTTTTTTGCTAAACTATAACGGGATTTTTTACAGGAGGATCCCGAATTTTCGGGTAGCGCAAAAGAGGGTAGATTTTTTTGGGCCAAACTTGTCTAAATTCTGGTTAAAATTAAATTTTAATTTTAATTTTGACCAGAATTTAGACAAGTTTGGCCCAAAAAATCCACCCACTTTTGCCTTAGAATTATCCGGGGTCTTGTTAGGGTTAGCTATACTGGTTAGCAGGAGCTATGGTAAAATTATCAGCTGGGTATTTTTACTTAAGGCCACTCCAATTTAATTTTCTGTTTAACACAACATAAAAGTAGCTTATGATGGTGGGGGTATTAAAAAACACAAATATAAAAAGTACAGTAATTATATTTGCTGTAAAAAATGTAAAAATGCAAAAAGTTAATATTGCAATTTGATTGGCTAATATTACGTGTTTTTTCATGCAAAATAGGGGGGAGGGGGCTATGTTAAACAGAGAACCAAATTGGTCTGGCCTAATGAACGACTATGTTTCCATTAGTAAAATTCTTAGTGATCTTGGGCAAAATCGAACAATCACGGCTCATCCGACCAGGGTCACGACGCGACCCAAAATTTTAGGGATCTCTCTGTATGAGTTTAACTAGGATATGTAACGGGCCGGGTCGGGTCGGGTTTGTTTACAGCTGTTTCATAAATTCTAAAGGCATATGGGCTAATATGTACAGTAATGCAAGAGAGAGAACCCGTACCCTAAAAATTTTTTACAGCGGGTCAAGTCGTTTGACAATGCAATTGTCTGAATGAATGAGGCGAAAGGGTTATTTTGACCATTTACTCATAACAATGACAAAGTCAAACAGCATATC